CGCGCAAAATGTTTGATTCAAAGTCTTGAGAGATAGTTAAAGAAAATGGCTATAGGAAGATTTTTTCCTCTCCTGTAAAATTTTTAAAATGGGACTTAGCAACTTTTCTTTCTAAGCTAGCGATATAAAAAGTGGTGTTACTAGCTCAGTTGATTTTGTGTATGTGTTTCTCCGCACGGCTTCTGATATCAAATTGAAAAATTTTGTTTGAATTTCTACTCGCACTTACAGGTTTTGACAGTTTATGCCGCCAAAGCAAAAACAAAATACATGTAAATTTTTGTTTTTGTACTCCTGCAATCACCTTATATTGATTCGCCTTGGCACAAACAAAAGTAAAATGAGTGGAAACAAAAATATTAATGATGTACTGGACAGTGTTAGTGCTTGTGTGTAAAGCAAAGAGTTTAAAACTGATTTATAAATAGTAAAATGTTTACAGCAGATTGTCAAAGCAGTGCAACAACTGTTCACTTGCAAGTTATTGCTAGTTTTGTGTTCAATAAGTTCTTCTGCTAGTTTTCTCTTCTTCTCAATTTAACGCTCTATTTTGCTTTTACGCTCTCGCTGCAATGTTACTGTTACTATACAAACCTAATGTTACTCGCATATTTTCGAGCCTGTATGTACATTTTCGGGAAAAAGGTTAAAAAGTGTATATATCTGCTGAAAAGATATTTTCGCAGATTCACAATTTATTTAAAATAAATCTATTAGCCCAATCTCCAATTCCATGTGAATAAATCTCCCCAGTGCTTAAATAATTTTCACCACATTAAATAGCTGCACAACACCCTAATTGCCGAAAAAGCGTTGCTTGCAACACTAGTCCTTTATGGGGACCAAACTTGGCGAAAAAAAAAAAGCTAAGTTTGTTTACTGGATATACTGAGATCAGAACTAAAGTAAATTTGTTGCTCACTTGAAGTTGGTACATTTGCGCAGTGTGACCAGGTTTTCATTTTTGAGGCTAGATTTACCCTGGGCTTAATGAAGCAGTCACTATTCACTAAAAATGACTTCGTGGTGAACAAGACCAAAGAACGTAAATCTATAGATCTATAGATCTATATCTATAGATTTAGGTTCTTTGACAAGACGAATTTATAAAAGTGGTGTTATAAAATCACCTGTTTTTTCGCCTTACATGTATTTTGTTTTTGCTTTTACTGATTTGACATCACACCCGTCAAAAGCAAAAACAAAATACCTGTAAACTTTGGGGCGAATTGAGATTTGAGATATCACAACAAGGTGTATTTAATAAGGTGATGTTCGCCGTATATAAGTAACAAATTATATGCAGATATCCATACTGTCATTAGTATGAGTTAAAAGAAACACATCATTTTGACGTAATGCCCTCCGCGGCGAAAAACTCAGCTGTCGCCGCGGTACTTATTAATGTCAAAATGGTGTTTGTTGTAATATGAATTCGCCTTGTTTACAACAAACACATCATTTTGACATTGGGAAGTACCGCGGCGAAAATCTAAATTCGCCATCAACACCCCCTTGTATTAATTCGCCTTGATGGGTGTGCTTTCTAATCAGTAAAAGCAAAAAAAAAATTGTACATGTAAGGCCAAGGCGAATTTAATTGGTGTTACTGGCGAATTTAGATTACAACAACGACAATCATATGTATTTTGTATGGAGGGTGTTATGTCCAATCTCAATTCGCTCCAAAGTTTACATGTATTTTGTTTTTGCTTTTGATGGGGGTGCTGTCAAATCAGTAAAAGCAAAAACAAAATACATGCAAGGCGAATAAATCAGCTGACTTTACAACACCACCTTGTATGAATTCGCCTTGCCTTATATCACACGCAACACCAAGGCGAATTTATACAAGGTGGTGTTACTGGCGAATTTAGATTACAACAACGACAACCATATGTATTTTGTATGGAGGGTGTTATGTCAAATCTCAATGCCTTGCCTTACCGCAGAACTCCACAGGCGAACAGCGATGGCCTACCAACTGTCATTTTGACGAGCAATGTGATTGCAAGTTTTTGTGTGTGGGCACTTTGATGTCTTGAAATAAGCATTTGCCGCATGACGCCACCAGACAACATTCTCTCAATTTCGGTGTTTAAAAACATTTAAATCTTTAAAAAACTAGCTAAATAATTTCCTAAAACGTAATCATAAATTATCCAATACGGAACAGATTTTTATTTTGATTTAATATCAAAATTTCATCGATGTTACCACCAGCACGCTTTCTTTCAAATGAAAATATGGCTGTCAAACTATCGAATTGCCTGCAATAGATGTCAAGCAATAAGCGCTGACATATATTGCAGCACATAAGAAATAGGCGGTCTCCATTGGAAATATATTTTATGACATGGTTATCACGACATCAGTGTTTTCCTGTGGAGACAGGGCCTTATATCACACGAACACAAAATCAAGGCGAATTTATACAATATGGTGTTACTGGCGAATTGAGATCGCAACAACGACAACCATATGTATTTTGTATGGACGGAGTTAAGTCAAATCTCAATTCGCTCCAAAGTTTACATGGCCATTTCTAATTAAGGGTTTTTGCCAATTTCAAGGCGAATTTATACAAAGTGGTGTTGATGGCGAATTTAGATTTTCGCCGCGGTACTCAATGTCAAAATGATGTATTTGTTGTGAAATGAATTCGCCCTGTTTACACAAACACATCATTTTGACATTAGGAAGTACCGCGGCGAAAATCTAAATTCGCCATCAACACCTCCAAGGCGAATTTATATATTAATTCGCCTTGAACACCACCTTGTATAAATTCGCCTTGGTTTTGACATTAGGAAGTACCGCAGCGAAAATCTAAATTCGCCATCAACACCACCTTGTATAAATTCGCATTGGCCAATTCAGCGCAAAATTTCTTTGTTTGATAAAAAGTTACGAAAATTAATTAGAAATGGAAAAATGGATACGTGAGCGATTGAAAAATTGTCTGGACTTTGAAGTGCCAGATGATATGATCAAGTAAGTGTGAACTTTAAAAAATGGGTACCTATCATAACTGCAAAATTTCTAAATTCCCCTCCAAACTTTCCAGGTACATAATGTCTTTGAAGTCTTCGTCGGAATTTGACGAATATTTCGAAACTTTGCTCAATCCTGAATGCGAGGATCATCGTTCATTCTTAACTGACTGCAAGCAACGTTTGTTTAGTAAACCATTGCCCAATAAACGTTCGCCAAAGACAAATCCACAACAGCAAAAAACTGGATATGTAAAACAAAATCCCGTGCCATTAGATGGCAAGTTCGGCAAGCAACTTACCCAACCACCACAACAGCAGCCGCAACAACAGCAGGGTGCTAAAAAAAAGTCCAAGTACGTTAATTTGTACACAAGTGACGGTAGTGTTAGTGGAGAAGTGATAATGCTGAAAGGTCGCCGTCTCTGCGATTGCCAAGCATCACAACACAAACTCATTAATAACTGTCTTAGTTGTGGACGCATTGTCTGCGAGCAGGAAGGTAGTGGACCGTGTCTCTTTTGTGGGGAGATTGTTTGCACCAACGAGGAAATGCAACTGATGAAAAGCGATCCAAAAAAAGGCCAAAATCTTTTGAAATCGTTGAAGGAAAAAGGGGGTGGTGAATCATTGAAAAAGGCACTAGAGCAGCGTGATCGTCTGTTGGAGTATGATCGTAATAGCGAGAAACGCACAACGGTTATTGATGATGAGCTTGACTATTTCGAGGTTAGTGCTGGAAAGGGTTTTTCAATCTTTGTCTAATGAGATGTGCATATATTATAACTCTCATCGATTTACCAGGAAAATTCAGTTTGGCTCTCGGATGCAGAACGGGCCAAATTCGAACGTCTTAAGCAGGAAATGCATGAGAAGAAACATGAAAGTCGAGCCAAACGAAAAATTAAGGTTGATTTTGCCGGTCGCGAAATGGAAGATGATCTTACAATTACCGCAGATTTTGAAAATCGGGTACTAAAGGAAATAGCTGAAGTAAAAGCTGCTTCTGGAGAGAAATATAATTGGTCAAATCGTAAAAACTCGCAAAAAATTACACCGAATACATGTGGCACAGACCCAAACATGGATGATGAACTTCGTCCAGTTTACAAACTCACTTCAGAAGGTAAGGCCCTAGCAGCCAACGGAGGCGCCAATCAAGGATTTGCAGATCGCTCCTATAACCGTGTGCAAGATAAAGAGCTGTTAGAAATGCAAGACATGCGTCATTGCATCTCAATGCATCAGCCATGGGCTTCATTCCTTGTGGAGGGTATAAAAAAGTACGTAAGGCATTTAATACAATACAATTCGATATAAATAAAACCTTTGTAGGCACGAAGGCCGTGTTTGGTACAGTGAGCACCGTGGTCGATTATGGATTGCCTCTACCGTTAAAGATCCACATCCTGAAGAAATTGAGGAACTCAAAAATTTCTACAAGAATCACTACAATGATTCTAACATAAAATTTCCGGAGCACTATCCAACAGGTTGTTTGTTGGGTTGCGTACGCGTAGACGATTGCCTTGCGCAAGAAGAGTACCGTGAAATATACCCTGACGGCGAATCAGACAGCCCATACGTATTTGTTTGCTCTAATCCTGAACAGCTGCCTGTGGTTTTCCCTATTAAGGGACAACATAAAATATGTAAGCTATTCTCAAAAACAATAAATATACATATCTACATAATAATAATTTCAGACCAAATTGATCCTAAGATACATAACGCTGCTTGCAAAACCTTATTACGCCTAAAAAGCACAAAAGGCTAAATATACATTCATAGATACGTATAAAATTTGGCCAAGATGTATGCATCCTTAGATCGTAAAAATAATCAAAAAATACCCCATGCTTTAAAAACATATTTAGCGCTAAACATGTGTTTACGATGTGTACTTTTTTAATAAAACTGGTCAATAAATTGATTTTTCTAAAGCAGCCATGATCAACGCTGAGCATGCTTTTTCTGAAGCTTAACGAAAAAATTTTCGTGTTAAAATCAGCTGGATTTTATTTATTATTAGTATCCAATGTTAGTTACATACATATATGTACATATATAAGTTTAAAATTGAATATTAGGATAAACATTTATGCTTTAATTCACAATAAGTAAAATTTACTTAAAATACGTTAATGCGTTTTTATGAAATTGATGGCGTATAAGTGCAAATTTATCTTATCTCGTATGTTTTTAAAACATTGAGAAACTCCTTCATGTCAAGTTTTGTTAATTTCTGTAATTCTTCAGCCGCCTCATCTCCACTTATAATTTCCGTTTCAGGTGTATCTAGATTGCCCATACATAATCCCAGCAAATCATCCCAATAGAAAAATGTATCGCATACCAACAGCTGGGTATTGCGTACCATAACCTTTAATGAAGCATTCCTGCGCAACATTTCACGGCGCAAAACCAAAAGCTTTTCCTTTCTTTTTAGTGAGATTTGGGACATCTGCGACTCAATAAAAATACCAGTATTTTTTAAACAAGCGCTCTTCCTAAATATTGCATTTACATCGACTTCGTGCACAACTTCAACAAGCAGGATCTGCCTGTCGTGGTGTATCCTGTTTCTATTTCCTATAACACAAACGCTTTCCAACTGCACATTTGGCATGTTGAAACGTTCCCTAAATAACTGTTCGACAGCTTGCTGTGGCTGTTGATTAGGTGCTACTGGTATATTGTTTATAATTAATTTACGCCTGCGTACGACTTTCTCAAGTGTATGCAGTTCCCGTTGCAGAATTCGCTTGCTTTGTTCAGAGTGTTCTAGACGTTCTCGCATAAGTTGGAGTTCTCTTTGTATAGTTTTATATTTATCTTGATCTCCTCCTTCATCTTCATTGTCCTCTGTTACTGCAGTAGAACAAGGAGTACTTTGACGCGATCGTACTTGGTTGATAATATTTTTAGTCACCTCGCTGAGCTCCGACTTCGTGGCGAATGACTTGAGTTTCTCATCGAACATTCTGCTCATTGCTTGTAAAGTTTTACTTGATAAATTAACTTCTGCTTGAGCACTATCATGTACATAATTTTTATTGACCTGGGAATCAACTGAATTTTCGGTGGTATCGATTAAATCGGTGTTGGAGTTTGGTTGCGAATTTTCGGTGGTTTCAGAGTTTTGTTCATTTTCAGTGGCGTCAGCTCCTGTAACATTGGTGCTTGATGGTGTGCTTTCTTGGAATGCACTTGCATTTATAAAGTTTTGTTCATCAGCCCCAGCCTGTGGCTTGTTTGCAAGTAAGTTCATATTCATTTGTCCAAATCCATGTTGTCTTAGAAGTTTGTACTGCTCATACATTTTGTGTACCTCTGGATGTGAACGTTTCATGTGCTTAATGAAATTCGACGATACATTTTTATGGCCACGTAGCATAACCTGACAGGAAACGCAACGTGCAACGAATATATCACCATTTTCGTTATTGCTTTCGGGCTAGAAATACAAATTTTAGAATAGGATTTTAAATGAAATGATACTAGTGAAAAATCTACCAGCTCGAAGAAAGGCGGGGAAAATAGTACAGCGCTTTCCCCACGACGACAACGTTTGGCTGGTTTGATGTCTTGTTGACCAACAGGAGCATTTTGCGTCTGAGAATAGAACGTCTGTTGCGATGGTGCTAAAAATCCAGAATTTTGCGCTTTTGATTGCTCACACCTATTGTCCTGATAATAAGGGCCAGTACCACCCTCCCATTGGTTCACTTCTCCCAACTCGTTGAAATGTCGCTTTTGTCCCGGTGCTGTAGGCACTATGCTTGACTGTCCTATAAACATATCCTCACAATTTTCATATTTAATTGTGGGTTCCATTTCTAAGCGAGTAGCAAAAACTGAACTTATGTATGGCTACAAATACTTTAATTCGACGAGAATTTTATCTTATCGATTTTGTAAAACACTAGAAAACAATTATTTCGGTTTTAGCAATGGCGTTTGCGGAGTTGCCAGATGCTTACATAACAGCTTGTGAAGGAAAATTATAACAATAGTTAATTTGTTTTTTCCTAGTATTTGCGCTTTTGACTGCCTACCTATAACTTAAGGAAAAAATTACACATTCCTATAAATAAGTAGATAAATACTGCAAAGCTACTTTCTTTGCCTTTTATGAACCAAATACATAGCATAAGCGGTTTGTCAAACATGACAAAATTTCCCTTTAGCTCAAGCCTGTTATGGGGTGTACGGGAGGAGCTTAAAGGTTTGACAAGCCGTTTGAGGAAAATCTGAACAAAAATCAGAATTTCTTAATTTTCCGGCTTCTAATAAGGCGAATTTGTACAAGGTAAAATTATGTGCACATTGAGAATCAGTACAAAACAAAATTACAACAAACATAATTTTGACAAACAGTACACATTCACCTTGAAATCAGCAACTCCGGTAACACCACCTTATAAGAATTCGCCTTGCCCTCCAAGTTATAATTTGATCAAACCGCTTGTGTCAACGCGAATTTATACAAGGTGGTGTTCAGTGGTGTTGATGGCGAATTTAGATTTTCGCCGAGGTACGTCTTAATGTCAAAATGATGTGTTTGTTGTAAAATGAATTCGCTTTGTTTACAACAAACACATCCTTTTGACATTCAGTAGTACCACGGTCAAAATTTAATTCGCCATCAACACCACCTTGTATAAATTCGCCTTGGCTTGTGTTGTGTATGGCAAAATCGAATTATATACATCAATAACTTCACCGCTAAACGACATAGGAGAGAAAAATGGAAAGATACCATTTAAATTAAGAACCGGAGAAAACCGAAACTCGCCGCTTGAAAGAGTCGTATTTGAACGTTGTATGGCGAAATAGGAAAAGCCGGTTTGGTATTCGCCAAATTGGGCAATTGGCCTGCCACTCTGGAAAAGAGCGGATGAGCCCAAGCAACGAATGTTGACAACAGTCGCTGCTTGAGCTGTAGCTCGTTTCTGTAACAATTCTCTACCAAGGCGAATTGAGATATGAATTCGCCGCCCTATTCTCTACTGCTAATTAGTAGGTGAGAGTGACATATTTTCTCTACCAGTAGAGAAATAATCGTTAGAGAAAAGTTACAGAAACGGGCTACTGATCTGTTTTTTTGCCAGACTGCCAGGCCACTTGCTCCCTTTGGTGAATACCACTAATATATTTCACAAGATACTTGTGTGGTGTATTTCGCCCTTTACATAATTTGTTAGAGGAATTTTTTTTTCCGTAAAAATTCCCTTTTGTGAAAATGCAACGCTGCATCGTAAGATAAAGAATAACAAAAAAGGGAAGTAAATGGTAAACGATAAATTAAAAGAAAACAAGTATACAACATAAAAAAGTCACGAAAGTTATCGCAGCATCTTATATCTAATTCGGAAATCTTGAAATTCCTTGAAGATTTCTTGACAAAAAGGTGGGCTTTCAGTGAAAATTACTATAATGAAGCAGAAACCGGAAAATTCGATTATCCTGCGGTAAGAAAACACCTCCAGACGTTAATAGTGTAGTACCCAAATGAAGTGGCCGGAAAGCAACTCAAAATAAAAATCGTCTGCCTGAAAGCGAAGCCCATTAATATGGTATTTTGAAGTGAAAGTACTATCACTTATTCCAGATGCAAATGTATGCAAATAGATAAAATAACCTTAGTGTTTTGTGAAATCTCAGAAAATTAAACAGTGCGAAAAATAGCACAAATACGAGTGAAAGCAAAAAGCTTTCGTTAGTGTCGAAAAAAACAAAAATTTGGTATGCATGCAATAAAAGAATCATTCAAATGCATTAAACATATACGTTTGAATGTTAATTAGCGAAGAAAAGAAAAAAAATCGAAATATTCCAAGCTAATCGCCGCATTTGTATTATTGCTGCTATATATTTGCTCTCCCATCCAGCCAATTGGCGTTTCCACAATTATTGGCGCTCTTCCCCATATTCGCGTTGGCCCCACTGCACCAAATATCGGCGCTTGGAGCTCTCTGACATTTTTTGGGGCTGTCACATTGACAGTCGCGCGTTGTAGGTGATTGCTTGTGCATTTGGGGATACGCTTTTCGCCATCGTCATTTTCACTGTACTCGGAGTGTTGTGCTTTTCGTGTATCAATTGCACATAAAAATATTGAAATTCTCAAGTTACCGACGATTCTATTTAAAAAGTGTTTAATTTGCGAATATCACCGAAAGTAATTCCAACCAGCTGAAGTTTGGTGCCGATAGCGACTGTGGGAGTAAAAAAAAAAGTTAAAAATTGGTATAGTGGGAGGCAGAGAGTACAAAGTGAAAGTGTTTTTTTTATGTATTGTGTGCAAAAATCTAGCTTATACAAAAGCTTAAAATTAAAAAAAAAAACAAATGTGTAACTATAAAATTGTTCATTAAATGTGTAACCCCGCGGTCCACTAAGACCTTAGCCTTCCTGCCAATTTCTTTTGTTGTGATTCCTTGTGGGTTGTGCAATATCCCTATCTCCCCCTTAAACGGTACTTAATTTTTCACCCATTCGAGAACATAGTGTCGTGTTGGTTCCCAAAGGAGAAACAAATCAAGAGTTCATTATAGTCTAATCACCTTCGGAAAGAACAAATAACTCGCCATGTATCGCATTGGACCAATTAACCGTAAATCGAATTTTCACTTTCGCGAAAAATGCCTTATAGGCATGGTATTAGCCACGTTATGTCTGCTTTGTTTTGGTGGCATATTTCTGCTACCCGACAATTTTGGAGGCGAACGCGTGCTGCGTGTATACAAGCAATTCCAAAAAGCCGGACCGGAAATGTTCATACCTGCACCGCCATTAGCTGGGCACGGGCCTAAAGATTCAGACCCACACTTTATTGGTGACCGTCAGAAATTGCAGGCAAAAATTAAAGAAGAATTAGGTGAAATTATGGATAAGCCATTGCTGCAACAACGGCAAGCAGATGCTGGCTATGATGGCGAAGAGTTAGGTGGAGCTGATGATGGTCAACAACAACAACAGGGCGTGGCGCCACCGTTGAACGGGGAGGGACCACCCGACACGGTCGGGCCTGCCGGCAAAGCACGTATCAGCAATGACGATAATGCAGCACGCATGGATAATAATAACTTGCCAGTGGGAAAAGTCGGCAACATACAATTCAGTCAAAATGGAAATGCTGATCCAGATCCAGCTGTTGAGGAAAAGCGGCAGAAAGTTAAAGAGGTGAGTACAAAAATGTGTACATAAACAATTTTTCTGAAGTCCATATCTACACACTTATGCATCAATGCATACGACTACATCGTGTTTAGCTGTAAATGAAGCTCTTATCAATGATTGCGGCAATTAAGAGTAGTGGATTGCTTCAAGCTTCTGATAACCGTCGACCTTGTGTACATACATATGTAATGCATGGTTAAATATGGTTGCAGAGTATATAGTATATGAATGACTATTGGCTTAATGTTAAAATTAGCTTGTAAAGGGCGGCCGGCCAAGAACCTACCTTAGAAGCCATAAACCATCCTTCCCAGTACATTTTTACTATGCCTTTATAGGTCGTTTATCGATTCGAAAACGACTGATCCGATTGAGTTCAAACTTCGCTCCGGCTACTGCAGCAGGTTAAACTCCTACCTGAGTAGATTGAATGAGGATGTGCCGAATGAGTGTCCGGCATGCGGAGAGACCCCACATGACTCGAAACATCTCTTCGCATGCCCGGAAAACCCGACAACCCTAACGGCCTTGTCCCTGTGGACCAACCCCACAGAAGCTGCACGCTTCCTAGGGTTGCCGTTAGTGGAACTTGACGACAACGACTGAGATACCAACCGTCCTGGGCGGGGTTGTTGTAGCCGCTACAACAACAACATTGAGTTCAAATACATAGGATGCGTTTGTACTAGTGCTTATTGTGCATAGTAGAGGTTTAATCCCTGAGCCACGCCGCCGCCGCCTTTTTTTGTCATTCCTCACCCACCGCCGCCGAGTTACGAAAATATCGGCGCGCTGGCACCTGAGGATTTTTGTACAACATTTTCATGATGAATGCACACTAAAACACATCGTTTGAAGGAACTACTAGGAATGGGATCTCCTTTATTTTTCCAAAAAAGCGTAACTCAGAAAAAAAACACGTTTTTTGGTCAAAAGCGTGTATTACAGATAAATTAGAGCCGAAAACTGGTACTTACATCTAACAATTTTACGCCGAAGTAGTAAATTTGAATTATTTTGATTTTCTTGAGAGTTGAATATTTTTTAAACATATTTTTTAATAAAAAGCAAAGCCATTTTTTTTTTATAAATTTTACATTCATAAGTTTTTTTTTATTCTAGGGTCCCACAGACTTATACAAGGAAGGTTTAACTCCATCGCGTGCAATGTTTTCCACACAGGGTTAAAGTTTCCCATTTTTTGGCGATAATTAGTACTATTTTTCATTACATTTGGTTATCCTTAGAAAAATTTGCCGCTTAATATTTTTAGTATTTTTTTTTTAAACCAAAAGCCATTTTTTAACTAGTGGGCCGAAAAGGCCCGTTGGGAGTTGATTGGTAAAACTGTTGGAAAAAAGTAGACAACTCTTGTTTTAAATCTACAACTCACAAAAAACCGTAAGAACTTTATAATTTAACATAATGGTAGATAAGAATATTACGAAAATTTCATTCCCACGACAGCCGGTTTTACGTACCGGAACAACTTGGGTTTTGCCCGACCCAGGCCTGTTGTTTCGCCGATATAATCCAGTTTGGTCGGTGAAATATCTCAAACTTTGTTCGTCCATAGGGCTACACCTGCTACATACTCTTCTGCTCAGGGGTGGCATCGACTCAAACCCTGCGCCAGAAACTTACACCTGCTGCGTGTGCCAGAGACGACTACTCCACAACTCCTCAATCTAGTGCAATGCTTGCAATGGGTGCAGTCACCTCAGAGTTTGCTCAGGCCTACGGACTCACCTGCTGTGGACAACGTCATTTGTGGCCCCCTGCTGCTAAAACAGAGCAGTCTCCACGGCACATCCCTATCCGCCTGAGCAGCTCAACACAAACACCACATTCACGCCAGACACAACAGACACAACCACACCACCACCCACACGCGGCCGTCAACAACTCGTGGTTCCTCCAACAATCTGCACGGTGTATCAAACCAGGATATTCCGTAATGTGGCATCAGTCACGTGCGACACATGCCTTGGCGGTGGCACTTGAGGTCATGTTCAGGTCAAGCTCCAATTGCTACACCACCCTCTACCACCACAGTGCGGTACTTCCCACAGCCGCGCACACAGTCTATGGCGGTCAGGCAACACACACATAACAATAAATATCCCTAGGCAAACGAAGATCCTACAATTCAACTGTAACACTACAGAGCAATATCGAGGAGATAACCGTCTTATGGGCCGGCATGGAATATTGATAGCTGCGGTCAAAGAGACGAAGTTGCACAGCAATTCAATATTGTGGAACGTCGTCAACCTTCGTCAGGCCGACTGCGGAAATCCCCTCAATAGGGATCTCAATAAGAAATTGGAAGACCTTCACCTCTGGTGTGAGTCAGCTTTGGTCAAAGCCTTATTTTGGACGTATGCTGGCGAAGCTCAACCACACAAGTGAGAAACGTGAATGACTTCAGACTACAACATCAAACAACAACGGTCGCACAAAAGACGTTATTTTATAAGGGATTAAGTTGTATTTAATTAATTAAATGCAAATATAAAAAATTAAAGCAAGTCACGTATTTATGAAGAAGTATCTCGAATATATTAGAGAACAAAATTAATTTAGTACATGCGCACTTAATCAAAAACATTTTAAGCTATGGTAATATATTATTACTGAAATAAATAAACAAAACCGTGAGGTCACTGTCCAATTCGACAAAGCGCGAAATATCCTCCTGCGGATCAGGAGCGATGCGCGAGCTATTTTAGCCGGTACTACATCCTCCGACGGGCAAATCCAAACGTTGGCACAAACTGCCAACAAGTGTGCCTCTTGTTTTCACTTGCGGTGAAGTTCAGGTAGCCATCGGGAAGGCGAAAGCCTTCAAAGCCATGGGACCCGACGGAATATGCATGTTGATGCTGAAAAATTTGGGTCCTGCGGCAGTAGAATATTTAGCAAGGTTCACAACCTATCAATTGCCATTCTTGTCATTCCAGACATCTGGATGATGGGCGAGTTTTCCCACTGCTCAAACCGGGAAAACCAGCCAACAGTGGATAGTCTTATCGCCCCATAACCCTCCTTTCCCCGGTAGCGAAGACGATAGAGGCCTACTCCCGTATTTTGCGAACCATCTGACCCCTGCGAATCATCAGCATGGTTTCCGTAAAGTGCACAGCACAACAACAGCACCTAACGCCATAAACACTCTGATAACACGTAGCCTAAACCACAACCGCCCCTGTGAGAGAACTATTCTAGTAGCGTTGGATCCGACAAAGGCGTTAATACCGTCTCCCCCACAGAGACTCAAACGATGCTCGGCGAATTATTTGAGTGGAGGATACTCGTCAGTAATGTTGAGGGACAAATTGAGCGAACCCAGAAAAATAAAACAGGGAATTCCCCAAGGTGGTGTCCTTTCCCTTAAGCTGACGATTGCTAGATAATAGCGTCTGGGAATGGAATTGATGACTTGTGCTCAAAAATAAACGGTTACCTCTCCGAGCTTTCTCGCTTCTTCAGTGCTAGGACCCTGACCCTCTCCCCTACAAAATCCTTAGCTACCCTGTTCACCACCTGGACTGCAGCTGGGTATTCACGTTGGTGACATACCAATTCCGACGGTGAATAACCCGGAAATCCTCGGAGTAATCTTCGACGTTCTGGTCTCCTTTTCGGCGCATACAGCCGCAATTGTCAACAGAGTACAGAGCCGCAACAAGGTCCACAAGTCGCTGGCCGGCAGCACCTGGGGCAAAGATAAAGAAACGTTGTTTGCAACATACAAGGCAATTGGCCGGCCGGTCCTAAATTATGCAGCGCCTGTGTTGTCGCCGGGGACTAACAGGAAGCAGTGGACAAAGCTACAGACTTGCCAGAACACGGCACTTCGGACCGCGACTGGATGCGTTCTGACATGGCTACAGCATCGTCTACACAACGAGGCTCAGATGCTCCCCACCAAGGAGCATAACACAATGCTGTGTAAGCACTTCCTAGGGGGGCGTCACAAACGCGTCAGGAGGCGTCTATACGAACTGACGGACGAAGTCCAGAGGTTCATAAAACAATCTCTGCACCCTACTGCATACCGACCGGCCCTAAACGGCATTCACAGGGAGTCGGTCTCGACTTACATCGACTCCCGACCTATGAATGCCGTTTTGGGATCACAACCACCCGTCGCGGACTGCACAGAGCTTTGACTGCTCAACTTCGGTATGGATACCACAGTAGAGTAAGCTCCCACCTGAACAGAATAAACGAAGATGTGCCCAACGAGTGTCCAGCATGCGGAGAGTCACCTCATGACGAAACGACACATCCTCGCACGCCCCCAATACCCCACTCAACTAACGCCTTTGTGCCTATGGCGTTCTTCAATCAAATTCTGAAATAGGGAATTTTTCAATCAAATTCTGAAGTAAGGCGTTCTTCAACCATTTTATGAGGTTGGGTGTTTTCCAACCGGCTGCCGCGATAGGTCGCTCTTCCACTCAGCCATCGATTTAAAATTTTTTTTTTAATAAAAATTCTTATCTTCAATCGCTAAAATGGAGCAACCAAAAACGACTCTGTTTGAAAAAATCGTGCTAATTTTTCTTAGTGTACTAGCCGAAAAGTAATTTTTTTCCGATTTTTTTAGTAGATGCAACAAACCGCAGCTTAAGAGCTGCATTCGTTTTTTTACAAATTCACTTCAAAGAAACGTACTTAACTTCAAAGTCGTATCTCCCGAAAACTAATTTTCGGACCATTCCTATGTAGTTCACTTTTAACCTTCTCTTTAATAACTGAACTTGCATTACAAAAAAAAAAGAAACAAGTACAAACTAAACAGAAATTTATACATATAATTTTTTTTTTGCTTTGCCCTAATTTGGTACACAGAATCAACAAATTTATCGGTGTTGAAAATAACAGCTGCCATTAATAAGTAAAGATGTTATCGCCGTCTAGATACAGCTTCATTCTAGAAAAAAATTTGCATATGATTTTATAACGGGGTGCCTGCAACTGATACCGTTTGTTTC